TTGGGGAGTAGGCGAAGGGGAAGCAACATGGCACCGGTCCAAACAGAGCCACAATGAGTCGTTATTGTGTCACACTCTGTGAGCTGCAGGGTGACATTGTCTGTGACAACAGGTCATTCAACGTTACTTCCTTCATGAAACCAGCCAGGTTTACTTTACCAGATGCATGATGGTTAATCCAGAGCAACAATAGAGGAACGGGATTTGTTTTAAACAAAAGATACTGAAGTTGTATCTGTTATAGAAGTGGCTCGATTCACCTAGTTTAGCACAAAGACGGGGAAAGCAGGGCTGCAACAAAGGATTCCTGTGAGGTTTCCTAATTCATTGATCGGGTGGTGTAAAAGATGTCACAGTTGACTACAGTCCGACAGTGACGAGTTCAGGAGTTTTGTTTCGTGCAACTAAAGAAAACTGCCAAATGTTGCTTAAAATAACTCATAATTAATGAACTAGAATTATTGGAGGCCTAATGGTTTTCTGTTGATGGACTAATCAAACAATCAACTAACTGTTTCAGCTCTAAATTCATCAAATCTGTTCATGTTTTAAAAAACGATGACAATGCTTCTTTAGTTGCATTTTAAATGTTCAGTTTAAAGCTGAACCTCCATCTAAAGACCCCGGCTGTCATGACAGGATCAAAACCACAGATATGAGATAAATATGAATCCATGGGTCGGTCAGACTGAAGCGGTTCAATGGCCCTTTGGCAACATTAAATAAAACCCTCTCTGTTTGAGGACAAGTTGGCTTGTTAAACACTCCATGGTTTAACAAGCCGACTTGTAAAACAGAGTGCCCTGATGGCTATTGGTGATATAAATGTTCCTTCCATTAAGTATCTCTTGAGGTACGTGTGCCAGACAGCGTCTCATCCTTCCAGCGGAGGCAGAGTGTGTTATTGGCTGCTGTGTTATCCACGGCAGCTGCCCAATTTTCCTGGACGTTCATCGTAGCCTCCGAAAAGAAAAAGGGCCCGTCGTCTTTCGGCCCTCGAGATGAGCGCCTACATCTGCCTTTGGTGAAGCTCCTCTGAACACCGCTTGTTTATTCCTCCCCAGTCTCTCCTCTAACAGCGCGGTGGGGCTCGTGACTCGGTCATGATCGTGTGGCGACGCTTCAATCCGCGGGAAAGGCACTAAGTGCTGCTGAAGAGCAACCACTTGCTTCCCACAAAAGGGGGGGAAGACGGCGCCCTGGGACGGGCAGTTTAGAGACCAGCGGAGCATGAAATATTCACAGAGAAAAGATATAAAGGCGAGTGGAAAAGGTACCTCTGCCTCAAGAGTTTGTGTTGTTGATGTACGCCAGGCCTGGAGACCTCGAGGCGAAGACATTGTTGAGCAGAAGCCCCAGTACAGAGGTCGTGGAGGAATGCAGTCACTCTCGTGTCACCTCGTTTGTGTTGCCTAGCAAAGGCTCCTTTCAGATGTTCATCCCCCTGTAGATCAAAAGCACCACAGTGTATCTGCAGACGATTGATATCGTTATCGCTGCTGCTGAGATATCTGGCATCTGTATTTAATTAAAATTAAACTAATTTCTGTGAAAAGTTGATCAGAACAAAGCTGCTAAAAACAGGAAGACGGCAAAGTAACTGTAGAAAGCGCTGCGTTGGGAAAGGCGGTGACATCATACTTAACATGTGCTCTTTGTGGATTATGTGTAAACCAAATTACAGGAGTAAATAGAGCTGCGCTGTTATTCTCCTGTTTTACTTTTTAACAGTTCTTCTGATACAGACACCAGCGGCTCATGACCTGCTTTGATCTCATAGTCTTGTATTTTGAGTGTAATGTAACAAAGCATCTCTTTACTTCATGGGACATTTAACCCAAATGACAAATGCATTGTCATACTTGCAAAGTACAGATTAGTGGTGAATGGATTTTTGTTGTTCTGCGTGTTCGTGACAGCAAAAGTCAAACCTCTGCATGTAGCTCTGAGTAACATCCGCCCACTCTACATTCAGCATTCTTTCTTCTTTTTGTCGTGCTTGGCTTTCCAATGAGGATAAGCAATATGACCTAAAATATTAATTACGCCATTTTTGTTTTGTCTTTGCAATGGCAGTATTATATCACGGGATTACACAACTTTAAACGAACACTCTCAAACCATTATTCTGCAAATGTTTCAGTCTATTGGCAATGTAAGAGATCTTAAGAGAGAAACTGTGTGTTTCTCACATATTTATTATTATTATTTCAAAGTTTTGTCACATCTTTTCACTTTGGAGTATTTGCCGAAACCACACACTATAACATTTGACAGCTGTAGTGGTGATGCTTAAATGAACCTAAGAATTGTTTCCCTAATTAAATAGTCTTTCAGTTATTGTTTTGATTCATTTAGTCTGTAAAATGTCAAATGTCGATCACTATTTCCTAGAGTCATAAAATCACTTATTTTTTCCAACCAACAGTCTGGAAAACCTCCCCGAAGCCGTTCAGTTTACAGTGATATTAAACAATAACAAGAAGCAAATACTCATATTTGAGACACTGAAACCAGCAAATATTTGGTATACTCGCTTGAAAAAATAGTCAATAGAACAATTAATGATGAAAATCATAAATAACCATCAGCTGTGAGGATATGTGGTCGATCCGAGGACCCGGGTGCGTTGAGGTTTGTTAAAGAGAGCACTTTCATCTCAGATGAAATAAATCAATAAAGAAACGCTGGACAGAGACGACCCCGGTGACCTTTTGAGTGTAACTGTGAATAATTTAGTAGATAATTTAGTAGGTGTCAGTGTGACACCAAGATGTTTGGGAAATCTTCATTTTAGTGTCAACAAACCCCCCAAAAATGCGGTCCATGTATCTGAGATGATAGCGGTGCTTTCAGTGTGAGGGACGGAGGTTGGATCAATAACCCGAGGGAACGAGTGGAGAGGGATGGAGGTGGACGGTGATGCATGTATTGACCTTTACTCCATTTGGGGACCTCATCTGTTGGTGGAGTTACCTCAGGAGACGGTGATCTCTTCTCGGATGATGTAAACAGAGAGCATCTTCACTGCGCCGCCTTTTTGTTTTACACGTCGCCCAAACATTTCACACAGCTCGTCTGAGTGCCACCGCTCTGCTGTAAACACCACGGCCATGATTTAGGTTTCCACGTGAGGCTCGGGGGACCAGACCAGACCCGTCCCGTCCAGCGTCTCCGCGCTGCCGTTGCTTACTTTTGGGAATGTGCTCTGTGACGGAGGCCGAGTCCTTCCAGACAAATGTTTAATGTCGAGACCCGCCACACTCAATCTTATATTGTCTGCAAACTCGGACTCATTTTTTTTAAGAAGTGAAAGCTTTAAAAGGTGGCGGTGCTGTCTGCTCTCCTCCGGTCATCATCCAGCCGTTTGTTCTGACTGTGGACCAGCTGATGTTATTATTTTTGTCACATTTCTGGTGATGTAGCTGATGTAAACCTTCACTTTTGCCATTTCTAAGTGTTCGGATGAATCAGGTTTGATCTGATGACTTGACGGTGGTCAGAAAGAAAGTTGCGATTTTAATTTGTAAGCTTAACATGAGACCAATGTTTAATGATCTTCATCATGCAATCAACGGCTTGAAAGGTGCAAACAGGAAACCCTCTGAACTCTCCTATACGAAGAGAATCAAATCCATTTCAGTGCACGGTGACGCTCGTCTAAAGAAGCTCTTAAAGAGTCCATTAGACGCCTCTCTGGTCAGTTTCCATGTTCCTGACACGCATTTAGAGAATTAAGGAGCCGTCTGTTGAGTCTTGTATGTTTATGTTTGCACAGCTTATCAGTCAGTGATTCCACAGGTCGGCTTTTAACCATCGATAAGGGACGAGATCATAAAAGTAAACTATCTGTCTATACTGGCTGACAGATGATTTCAGCTTTTAAAGATTCAAAGATTACTTCTAGAGAAAAGAAACGGGCTCAGTCACAGCTTATTTATATTTTGTTTCATAATCATAATCCTAGATCCGCAGACTGTTCCCAGGTCTGGAGTTAAATCAAATGATGATGGAGCATTTGCAGTCCGGGGCCTTAAACGTAATTTATTCCTCACGAAGCACTTTGTGTCTCGCTATACAAATAAAGTTTATGTGCGCTGGCCAGTAACCGCACAGCTGGCATGTTCGTAAAACGGTGGCTGCTTTTGCCTGTTACCTCTGTGTGTGTGTGTGTGTCTGTGTGCGTGTGTGTGTGTGTGTGTGTGTGTGTGTGTGTGTGTGTGTGTG